GCATGACATGTGACCTTTAAGATCATTCCATGGAATATAACAAAAAGTGTATCTCGAGCCGGTTTCTCAAACTTACCTACCCCACCTTTAAATCATAATTTAGAAAAATACCTGGAAGACTGCAATTACATTTCTAGACAATTGTTATCCGGATGTGTCACGTAGATTTGCATTTTCAGCCGGTAGGTGCTTTGGGCTGTTCTCTTCCTCTTTCTCTTTTTCTCTTGATTACACATTTTTCACTCCGCTGTTTGTATGTTCTGCGTGAATGTGTATGTGTGTGTGTGAGCAAGCTGGTGGATGAGATCCCAGGGGGCTGGATTACCCCTCTGCATGCCCCAGGCCAAGCAGCTCTTGGGGGGATTACTGTGAGACCTTCACCCTGGCTGGATTAGAGCGCCGGACCTCATTTCCATCTACTTATTTACCTCGGCCCACTAGAGGAAACGCTCAGCTGCACAAAAACATGCTAATTGATGCTGAGAAAGCCACGGAGAGGTGCAACACTCACTCTGTAAGCTTGTTTTTTTGGAGGGGTTAAAGGTTTAAGGATGAGTTGTTGAAAAATACTTTTTACTATATACTTATACTTACGAGTTGTTTGTTTTTGGATCAGACAGGGAAAACCACAGAAGGAAATTAAATTTTAAGCATCCATATGCAAGGACTACTCTTAAACAAATGTGTATTTCGGTGGTTGGTGTACAATTGTGGAATTCTCAACAAAATAATTGTATATGTATTTTTCAGTTAAAGAAGTTGTGTAAATTAAGAAAGATGGGACTATATGAAGCAGAATGTGAATAAGTCTTATGTTTTTGATGTCTTTTATGTGATGACTCCTCTGTATTTGCGGGTCCCATTGCCATTGTTGTTATTGTTATTGTTATTATTATCATCATGCGTCACTTTCCACCTTCTTCTCCAGTAGGACTCAGATGAGGGTGTTGCACTTTCTTTTCTTTTCTTTTACTTATACATGTGATGTTTTGGTGTTGTTTTGTTTCTTTCCGTTAACCGTTAAGTGGGAAATAAGTTTTTTTTTGTTGTGTTTCTCTTAGTATCCTAAGATACTGTTATGTTTGGCTGTGAAAAAGAAAAAAAAATTATTATTATGAAGGGCAGACCATCTATTTGTATTTATTTGTTTTTTTTAGAAAGGGGCAGGTCACATAAGATTTTATTCTTCTCCCTGCTCCTTTTTGCTCAATGGTGTTTTGGTAGTCATGTTTTGTGGCAATTATTGTATATTTGGTTTTGCGTACCATGAGCGGGACAAATCAAAATGAAATGAAAATGAAATATTATACAACGTGACATATCGGAGGCGTGTGGCACAGTGGACTAGTGCGTTGGTGTTCGGATCAGGGGTCACAGGTTCAAACCCCACTGCAGTCAGCATGTCGTTGTGTCCCTGAGAATTGTCCACAGTATTGAGTATGTAAGTCGCTTTGGATAAAACCGTCTAACAAGTAAAAAAAGAAAACGTTTCAGTTGTCATGTTACCACCAACAGACAGATTTCCCCTTCCCGTAGGTTTAATTTTAATAACTATTAAAGGCCCTATTAGAGGTAACATGTTCCTATTTAATTTAGAAAAAGGTTCATAAGTGAATACACATTTTCTTTGCATGACTTTTTTTTCTGTCCTTCTCCATGGATTATGATTGATGTTGTGACCCTAGGGAAGGAGGATGATTCCTAGTTTCCTAGACAGTGGTGTAATTATGGGGTACATGTACTTTACTTGAGTATTTCCATTTTTACGCTACTATACTTCTCCTCCACTACAGTTTGGGTGACATTATTGTACTTTTTAATCTACATTTATTTGAGAACACAAGTTACTCTACATATTCAGAGTATTAGCTAATACAAAATAAATAAACATTGATATATAATGAGCAGTTGTGATGAAAACATTAATTCATCAATAATAATAATCCAGCAATTTAATATACATGATTCTGAAATATGCTTTTGCACAAAATAAGTACTCTTACTTTTGGTAATTCACATATATAATGCCAATACTTTTGCATTTTGACCTAAGTAAGACTTTAAATGCAGGACTTTTACTTGTAACACAGTATTTTTACACTGTACTGTAACCCTAACCGTAGCACTTCTTCCACCACTCAGTAAAGAGCTGAGTACTATTTCAACTCCCAATACCAATGCCACTCAGTAGACAGTGAGGAAAGGAAAGTAAAACTGTTTAAAATACCAAAATAAATATAAACTGGTTAAGATAATAAACCAGGTCACATAATTGTATGTTGATGTGTATTTAGGATTTATTTTTCCCCCAAAAACGTAATGTATGGCAACAAATAGCTTTAAAGTTTGAAGCTTTTTTTTTATAGCATTGATAATTAAATTCCTAATCTACATTCGAATGCTAAGCAGCTTTATTTCTCCTTTTCCATCCTGTTTGAATCCGTAATGATCTGCCCGGTTGCAAAATTAAATAGAGATTAGACTACACTAATATTATTTTGAATTATTAAATGTATATAATAAGATTCCAGTGGTGGCTGTGTAGAGCTGTTTCAGACTTGTCTCATCCAGAAATGATCCAACGTCCAAAAAGTCCAAAAGTCAACATTGATTAAAAAAAAGTACAATATTTTTGTCGAACAATGAACAAGGGTGTCGGGCAGCATTCTAACCACACATTACATTTATACAACAACAATAACATATCTATTTTGGCTCAAAATAGCCAATCCCAATAAGAGGACAGCTAAAGCTACAACTCACCCCCAGACGTCCCCATACTTGGCATGGCACTCACTGTCAAAAGCAAGAAACCCCTGCAAGGAAACGTAGAACAACGTGTTAAAGGAGCAAAGGTTAAATGATCAAGTGTACGGATTAGCCATGGTCACTGCCTGCTGAGTTAAGTTATAATAAATACAAAATACAATATACCTCTTCAATGTGTATCTCAGTTTACTCATTTTACATACCAGTCTGTAAGGATTGTGCGTATTTGTATTACCTTCTTTAAGTGTAAAATCGTTCCTAAATAGGGCAAATTCTTCGGTCCGGGTATTCCAAGTTTCTTGAAATGCCTATACGGCCAAATGCCATACCTGTATTATATAAAAAAGAAAAGATATACTGTGGAGGTTTCCATATTGGGTTATATAATTCAAATGAAAGTTAATATAATCAAATATAATTTAGTATAATCCACAATGAAAAATGCATTATATTTTCACAAAGCTCTATACTTTCACTCTATAATTGTCTATAACTTGTAATTTCCTTTTCAGCTACTTTGTACTTTTACTCCACTACAATTATTTAGTAGGCTACCTTTAATTACTTTGCAGATATAGATTAATGATACACAATGGGATCAAGACCTTAGCTACATCTGGATTAAATTCACCAGCAGTAAATTAATTAATTAAAATGGGTTCCACATTACCAGCTTGATAAACATATGAATTCATCAACATTTTACTCAATTCATATAATGTTCTGAAATGGGACGATCTGCATAATGAGTGGCCTACTCATTATGCAGATCGTAGGCTACTGTTACTTTTGCGACTTTAGTATATTTGATGCTAACACTGTTGTACTTTTTCTTGACTAATATTTTTGAATACAGTACTTTTAATTGTTACAGAGTATTCCTGCTCTGTGGTATTTCTACTTTTACTAAAGTAGCTACAAGTTTTGAGTACTTCTTCCACCTCTGACCATGGATCAATATTGCCACAGGTTAACGGATCGTTACAGCAGGGTTACACGAGCCTCATAAACCTGACAACACATTGCTATGACAGTTTAAAAAACTACTCACAGATAAACCAGGGTGAGGAAGACAGCCAGCAGAGTCCAAGTAGTTGGTGACAACAAGGTAAAGGGAAACATCTTGACTCTTGAGACGG